CTGTGGCCCCAAAGGAGACAGCCACGTCACCGAGGAGTAGCACAGGACACCCCACAGCAGCATGCAGCCCAGAGCTGCCGCCAGCCCGCCTGTGAGGTGGACATCGGGTCCTCAGGGCTGGTCTGTAGGACCAACCATGTTGGTTCACCTTGGAGAAGCTGCTCTAGAGCAAGTGCTTTGGCTGGCGTAGCTGTGCCTGTGCTGTGGGTTTCACTTTCATGCTGCAGGCCAGCAAAGCTCTGCCAGAAAAACACTGGCATTGCTGCACACTTGACCACGATCTCAAGTGGGTGACTTGTTGCGGGAGAGCTGCTTTGGCAAGGGTCTTCTGTCTGCTCTGGTAGCTTGTCCATGCTGAAGCATTTCCCTCGGACTTTGCTGCAGCAATCCCCCTGCCCAGAGCCTTGGTGAGGGGCTGGGGCTGGCACCTGTGGCCCCAGAGCGGTGGCTGGTGAGGGCCATCAGGTGTCCGTGGGGAGACACACAGGGCTGCAAAACCTGGAGCTTTCACAGATATGGAGGAAAGCTTGAAAACTGCAGACAAGGATCATCCAAAGGCTTAGGCAACTGTAAAGAATTTTACTTTTTTAGAATGATGTGATTTTTTTTTTTTACATGACATGTTTTGGTGTTAACAATGCTGCAACCTCCTTTTCACGGCTTATGCTTCGGGCAGATAATTCTGGCAGAAGCATTTGTAATATGAGGAAAAATGGAAGTCAGTCAGTTCTCCCGTCTTAAGATAATTTCAAAGGAGGGCTGATACACTCCTTTATGTAGTACGCTCAAAAGGATGTGGGCAGAAGACTTTACAAGGGAAATGGAGAACTGCAATATTTCTCAGATCGCTTCCCCCAACACATCCTCTAACCAAAGGCACAGCCCACGTATTGTTTGCTACATCAAAGTCTTCTAGGAGCTCGCTGTCAGAAGACAGCTATGGTTCATGTGTTTTGCACAGATGGAAATTGCAGGTTTCTTACAAACTGAAAAAAAGACAGGTAGTTTCAGGAGCTGTCTCATGGGAAAGCCTTACAAATGGTTAACCCGAGAAAGAAATGCTTGCTCTTAAAAAAAGATACTGTAGCACAACAGAAAATTCCACTGAAGCCTGCATAGCTGACTTGAAAACTGCGCTGGAATGTGGTGTCTGAGCTCATTACAGGGAATAAAACAGCCTCCCATATGAAGCTGGTAAACTAAAACTGTTTCTGGCTTTATTTGCTGATAGTTTTCCATGCTCTGTGCCTAATTACTCTTCCCAATTGGGAGTTCATGCTTTTTAAATTTTTGTTCTACCACCTTAGTTCATAAACTCTGAGAAATAAAATGTGTTTCATTAGTGAAATACCATCTAATTTGGAAACAAGTGAATCAAGACTTAATTGCAGAGATGGAGCTTCAGCGAACAGTGTTTAGACTCTCAAAGGCCTCAAAAGATGGAATTTTTCTTTGGCTTGTTCAGCAGCCTCTGCAGTGGGTGTAGGCACAGGGGTGCATGTACAGGGAATTTTGTCATCACTCCTTATCTTCTTTTTCCATTCCCTTTTGTTTTTACCGATGAGTCAGTAGGAAGCAGTTTGCCTATTGCACCTCCCTGCTTACTTGACTGTCACTTCATCTTAAGGCACAGCTGAAAGGAAGAAAATCAAAGCAACCACCTCACAGAGGCAAAGCTAAAGCGGGATTAAAAAATGCCATGTATTAAGATTTATTCCTTGCAGTGGGGTAATATCCATTTCCCTTCTCTGGCCAAGGTGATTTATGGCAAAAGTAAATAAAACATGTGTAGCATCAGTATATTTAATCAGGCAGGGCTGATCTGAGCGTAGAGAACCTCAGAAAGATAAGCCTCTCAAGAACATGGTTTGATTTTTTTTTTTTTAGGGCCAAACTGGAGCAAGTGTGATCAACTGCTGTGTGCTTTATTTCACAGCAGATTGCTTTGCCCTTTTTATTTGTCTGTGAGCGAGCTCTGAAGCATTCATCACTCAGTAAAAAGCAGGTCTGTCAGAGTGCGTGGCTATTCCAGATTCCTTGATCTTTCTTTTCTGTGCCTGGAGGAGACAGAAAAGGAACGGCTTGCTACCTTTCCTTTCCCATGTTTATTTATAGCTTCCTCGTCTTGGACTTCTTGTGGGCCAGCATTTGCATGTTCCATGTGTGCTGGTTTTGCAACTGTTTTTGGACCCATGTGGTTCACAGGTGGTTATTTTTAGGCAAAGCAGCTCCTGTTGCATTGGCAGTCTGTCTTTTCCGCCCCTTGACAAAAATGTATAGAGATCTGTTTCTTTTAAAGATAGATTCAAACTGGGCTGTGTCTCTTCATGCTTCCAAGACCTTTCCCAGTCAGCAGTTAGCCCAAAACCTCCCGCTGGGTTTTTCTCAAGGCTGTGGTCTTGACGCGAGTTCTTTGGTCTGGGGTTTTCCTGCCCTTCTCCTGATGTTTTACATTTTGTGGGCCTGTGTCTTGGACACTGACCTTCGTTTTGGCTGTTGTTCAACAAATGATCATTTATCTGCTCCCTTGTTAAACTTGCATGAAAAGGCTGGTTTCAAGAAACCCACAAATGCTTTGTCCCTGTAATAGTAAAGCTATACCTGCCCTGTGTTGGCATGGTAGCTTTCAGAAATTGGTGAATTTTTAAAGCACTTGAATGTCTTGAAAAATAGCACAGCCTGCTCCCTTTTTTTTTCTTCCCCCCATAAAGTTAAGAGAGGTTAAAAGCAAGCTTATAATGAAAATTATCGTATACCACAACTTTAATTATATGGAATAATTTCTGTGGCTGCATAATAAAAGCTTACGGAAAACCCTCTGCAGAGAGTATGATGACATTCTGGAGCCTAGTTCGTCCTCGAGCACAGTCCCCTCCCATCTCAACCCTCAAAACCATTGCTGGCATGCCAGTCAAGAAAAGACAAAGGCTACCCATTTTCAGGCTCCTGAGAATTTTTCAGTGTTATGATGTTAAATAAGCCACAAGACAGCAAGGGAACTATGTGGAGTGGGCCCAACTCCAGCTAGGGTAGCATTTAACAAGCATATGGGATGTCGTATAGCAGCCTGAAGGTAAAATAGCGCATCTTTGGGCGTAATCTTACATCTGAGGTGTATGATACGCACTGCTCTGCTGACACACTACCTCTGTGTTGATTCAGTAACCATTTAGCTGACAGTAAAGTGTATGCCCAACTGAAACAATACCTATTTTCCCCCCGAAACCATTTTGTAAAATTGCCTCCAAACCGTGTTGGTGGGTATCTCGCCCAACTTCACCCACATGATAATGTCCTTGTTCCCACAGTAACGAATGCAACTCAAAGTGGGGAAAGACAGCAGACTATTTAAAGAAGAAAAATTGGAGGAAAAATGAAATGAGAACGATGCTTTATGTGTTGGAAATTTTAAAAGTTCTAAATGTTTCATTTTAAATCCATTTCAATCAAGCATGCATGCCCTGAGACTTTCCAGACTTCGTCTTGACTTCTGTGAGTAGAGGAAACCATCCTTTCAGATTCTGGATAGTCACCATCATGAGTGTCTTCACGTGATCCATCCTTTGAGGCATTTTGGCTAGAGAGGCCCCATTTGGCACACTTTTAATGCTGACTTTTCCAGCAGTGCTAGTCACCACTTGTTGCCCTTGGTTTCAGTGTGCGTCATGGGTTGCAATTCTCCAGGTAGCAAGTTACCTGGTCACTGGAGCATCCGAGATCCCTAAGGACTTCTGTAGAGCGATGGCCTAGGTCCGCTTTGCTCCCTGACTTAAATTTGTGAGAAGTAAGCCAGTAAAGTGACTGTTGCTTGCTAAAGATAAAGTAACTGTGAGAACAAAAAAAATCCCTGCCCCCATTTCATCACTGCAATACAGTCTGTTCTGCTTATTTTAGGCTGTGCTGAAACAGCTTTCAAGGCATCCTGCTAACAAGCAGGATTTGTTACAGCGTGGTTAGCAAAGATCCCATTGAAGAAACACAAGTGCCAAAGGTCTCAGGGTTGTGTTTAGGCGAGAATGAAATGAGGACTATTGCCTCAAGTGCATAACCCATCTAGTGAGAGACCACCTAGGCCTTTCTGCGTTCTGACCTCTGTTTGATTTTAACACCTTCATGTTTATTGAACAAGAACATCGTCTTCTCATCAGCTGACTACTGAAATCGCAGTGACAGACCAATTAAGACTAACATCATGTCACGCAAACACTGTCATCTCTGAGTAGAAGTGTGTGCACAGATGTCTCTCACATCTGTGACCACTAGCAAGCATAAACGGGAAAATCTGTCTTTGTTTCTCAGCCCTCCTGATGTGTTCAGCAACGTTGCTAGAGTGCTTTTCCGTTTGGGAGATTGAGTTTTGCTTCATCAGGTGCATGTATGCACATTTTGAGACTTCCTGGAATTCTCCTTGTATTGTTGCAAATCATAGTGCTTGTCACTGTTTTGTCTTGCCCGTTTATAAATTTTTGCTGGTTTTAGCATCCGCTGTGCTAACTGGTTGGTGTGTCTTTTTTCCTCCTTTACTGCATGCTGATGACTGCAGGGAAGGATGGGTAAGTTTCTTTTGATATTTCACATTCTAGCTGCAGTTGTGCGTTGACTCTTTCAAAACGCCTCAAAATTGTCTGAAAATCCACAGGGCTCATGGAGTACCAGCTTAAATCCAAAGTGAGTAAGATACTGTGGCTTGACACATTACTGCTATCAGTTGAACAGCAATAACTGACCATGTGAAACTAGTTTAAGAGAACATGTTTTGCCTCCCAGTTGGAGGGAGGGATGTGTTTGTGGTCAGCCAGTGCTCTGTAGCTCTGAGTCTCAGGACCTCCATAGGTTTGACCACGTGCCCATATTTTAGTACAGAAGGAATAAGGATGAAAGTTTTCACACTTTATTTCTAGACAAAGACCCTTTCAGGCTGCAGACTGTTCAGTTAGCTGATAAATATTTAGCTGGAATGGACATGATTCAGTACAGATGAAAAGCTCCTCAGTTTGTGTCCTGACTTGCTCAATCAACTGCTTTTCATACTAGCTAGAATACCACCAATGAAGATGGTACCTGTGGGAATGTGATCCAAATCCCTCTGAAGACAAAGGAAACATTACCAGAGTCTGCTCCGGGCTTCTCTTCTTCCTCCTATATGTTACGTGTAGTCTGCTGGTATAAAAAAATTGCTAACATAATTTTGAAAGACCTGTGTTTCTTCCATTTCAGTGAAGCAGAGCTGGTATTTGAGGATTTTGCTCGTCAACAGCTAAAAGATATGCTTGATGATGAAGACAAGAATATGTCCTCAACTGATGAGTGACTAAAAGAACAAGCTGCCAGAGAAGCTATGTAGTCTGGCGTCAATTAGAAATTTAGGACCTAGGTTTCTAGTAAGCTGCCCGTTCTCAGTGCATGCTTGGGCTCCCAGGGATTAACCCTGAGATAAGTGGACATAAAATCATGAATCTCCATTGCTGATTAAAAGTTTCAGCTCTAGAAGAACGTAGCGAACTCAAAACCTGATGCTTACTTGAGCTACCAGAGGAGGGCAAGAAAGGCTGCCATGCCATGACTTCTGCTTTCAGCGCTATCTAATAAAAATGTGGGTTGCTTTCACCATTGATGAGAGCTTAAATGATGGTTTGTGCAGCCTGCCGAGACTGACTTGGTGTCAGAGAGTCTCTGACTCTGAAATGCTAGCGAGCCAAATTCTAGTCTGGAAGGCTGGCTTGCAGCCTGTGGTGATTCAATGAAGTTTCTTAGCGGACTGTACAAAACTGATTTTGTTTCCTTTTGGTTGTTTTTGTGTTTATGCTTTACCAAACTCGTCTAGTGGATATTCTCAGTGCTTGCACTGTCCCCCTGTGTGGCTCACATCCACTTTCTGTACCATTAAATGTCTTGCAAGTCATCTTCCACAGCGGCTAGAATGCTGAGTTGCTATGTTAGCTTTCTAGCAATATTCTGAACAACCATGTTATTAAAGATGAGAGAAACGTGCACTGTCTGTTAATTCCTTAACAAAGCTCCCTGTACACAACCCCAAACAGAGAACTGCTAACGCAGACTGGTCCTATATTTAATCTAGTTTCCTGTATGCAACAGTGTTTCAAAAGAGGGTGCAGCAACATTAAAGGGGAAATTATGGGGCAGCCTGCCCTGAGGAGCCTTTTCTGCCATCCGTCTGCTGGAGGTCGGTTTATGCTCTAAGAAATGAGATTGTATTCTGCAAACTTTGTTCTTTCTTGTTGATCTGGATGTTCTCGTTATCCGTGTAAATGTCTAATCCTTTCCTGAATCTCACTTAGATTTTAGCTGAAGTGAGCTGCATCAGCTAATTACATTTTGCATGTAAAATGACTGGTGTGTTTTTCTCATTTTTCTCTAAATCTGCTTTTCAATGTCCCTGGTTTAAATTCTCCTGGAAAGTCGGAATGCAGGGCATACATTTATTAATATAAGCTTCTGTTTCCCACCCTACGCACCGGAAAATGGAATCAAGAGCTTTCCACTCATATCTTGGTTAACAACGATGTGCTTTTAACAGAGAAGAAAACGAGGGAGGCATTTCTGAGACGTCCGTTTTCTCCCAGTGGGAGTGGGACTGCTGCGAGCGCGTTGCCCTTCCGTCCTGCTTCAGACTTAGGCTTAGGTTACTATTGATAACTGCAACAAGCCAAAGCAGCCTGCTTTGGAGAAAAGCGTGGGCTGTGCTCTGGCATTTCTGCAGAATGGTTCTATATGCAGGCCTTGCTTTTGGAGCAGAGCTTGTTGGCTCGCTTGCTTGGTTGGTTTTTCTTAGTGACACCATCATGGTTACAAGCCCTGCTTTTACAGATGGTCCAAAGGCTTTAAACAAACAGCTTTGTATGTGGCCTCTAACACGTGCAAATGGCTTGGGTTAAACGTAAAGCCTTCTCCTGTTTTCTTCAGTAAACTGGTCTTGATTAAGATGCTGAAAGCAATGAATTGAGACCACAGCTGATTTCACAGTTCCATCAGTGCTCTCACCTGATATGGCCTGTCCAGGTGCTTGGCTCCCTTAGTCACAGCTGTCTCACCTAAGATGGAATTGCAAGAGGCGCTAGGTTTGCTCTGCTCTTTCTAAGCAGTGTGCCTTGCTGCTGAAGAAACCCTGGGGCTGCTTTCAGGTGTTTCTGGTCAGTATAATTTCTGTGTGATTTCAGCTTTGGGTTTGGGGAGGGTTAGGCATTTGCACCTGGATTTCTGAGAAGGCTTTTCTAATCATTGCCCTGGTATTTTTATTGCTAATTTTGTGCTGGCTCGAGAAGAACACACTGATAAGGTGAAGCTGAGCAAGTTGCTGGCAGCGAATATGCTGGTCTGGGAGAGCTGGTATTTGGCAAATCCTTTAAAGGTGCAAAGAGGAGGAGGAGGGGGACAGTGTGTGACAGTCGTCCTGTCTTGCTTCCTCCAATGCGTCTTCCTCGACAGAGGTGTTTCCCGGCTACTGGACCTGTAAGTATGGGACTGAGAAACTTAGAGGCCTGATTACTTCTTTTTTCTCATTTTTTTTCTTTTTTTCTTCTTGTGTGTCAGCCTTGTGAGGCGCCTCTGTCACTGCCTGCCTTTCCTCTCAGATTTGTCCGTGGTGGTGACTTCTCTAAGCTGTCTGTGTAACAAAATCACAGTGCGCTTTGCCGTGCGAGGGGGAGGAGTCGAAATGGTTATTAAATCTGGGCTTAGGAAAGCGCTTTCAGACGTTGACCGTTTGTTTAGCCCATGCTGGGCGTTTGCTGGGAGAGCAAGGGGTTTCTGCCGGTCCCTTCAGCTCCCTGTCCTGCAGGCCAGGCCGGACTTTTATTCTTCTGCCCTCCAGACAGCAGATGCTGACCTGTGTCAGCAGAAAAACAGGTCTCTAGCTGGAACCGCTCGCCTGTTATCTTTCCTTTCTTCTGGTTCTGGTATTAAGCTGATCTTCCCCCAAGTCAGGCCTGTAGCCTGCTACTCGTATTTACAGCTGGGGAGGAGCGATCCCGTTTCCTGACCCGGTGCCTTTGATGTGGTGGGACTCCATTTACAGAAAGCCTGCCAGCTCCAGGGAGAAGGGATGCGCTCCGGTAGCGATAGCATCTCTGAAACTGCTGCTTTCGAACGCCGCTTGTATCGAATGCGCGGCCCTCGTGCTTTAGCTGTCTGCTGACAGCGCTGGTTTGGTGACAGACGCTTTTCCCTCGTGCATCTTCACGAAACCCAGGCTGAAACGCTCCGTACCCGTCCTCAGCTGCGGCTGAGGGGGCATCAGCGAAAGAAGTGCTTTGGGGCCGAGTCGCCTCATGCTGATGGAGCCCATGAGGAAGGGTGCGGGGAAAGGCTGGGTCAGGCCGGAGAGGGAAACACAAAGCGGAGAGCAGCAGGCCCCTGGGCGGCTGAAAGGACGTGTGGGATGGAGCAGGTGCAAAGTAGCTGCCCAGGGAGGAGGTTGGTACAAGGGCTCGTACCTGGGGGGAGGAGGACCCGCATCACGTACCCACAGTATTTGATTAAACCTGGTGGAATGATTGGAGCGGGGCTGGAAACAGCCGCACGCAGCGGGGCCGAGGTTCGAGCTTTTGGGCTCACCTCACAGAGAGGTCTGAGCCGAAACTCTTTTCTCTGGCCCCAAACAGCCACGGGAGCGCTCGGACACGGCTGAGAGCAAGCGTGAACCCTGCTTGGGTGGGAGGACCCGGGTGGGTTCGCAGCGAGAGGTGAGCGGGGGCCCGTGGGCCGGGCCGGGGCAGGCGCCTGCCCGCCC